CTTCTCCCTCAGAGCAGCTAACAGATTGAAACTGCTTGCCTTTGGGATTGCACTGTTAAGGCTTGTTGTTGTTGTTATGTGCCATCAAGTCACCTTCAACTCACAGTGACCCTATGTATGATAGCTCTGAAGCCTGCCCTGTCCTGAGCCACTCTCACTGACTCTGACACACTCACCCCCATTCCACCAATTACCATATCAATCCATTTCATCTGCGGTCTCCCTCTTCTGCGCTGTCCGTCCACCCTTCCGACGAGCATGATGCCCATCTCCAAGTGCCAATCCCTCCTGGGATTGCCCAGTATGTGAGGCAGAGCTTCAAAATCCTAGCCTCCAAGGAAAAACTTGGTTTAACCCTCTCCAGTATAGACCTATTTGTTTTCTTGGTGGTCCATGGTATATTCAATACTCTTCTCCAGCACCACAACTTGAAGGCATCAAATTCTTCTTCTGTCACCCTTAGTCACTGTCCAGCTCTCTGATGCACAGCAAGTAATTGTGAAGACCGTGGCCTGGATCTGCTGAGGTCTCAAGTGCTACCCTTTTGTTACAGAAGTGGACTAGGAGAAGGCAGGACATTCCAATCTTCAAGAGCAAGTGAGAATACTTAGGAGTTAAGTCTGCAGTCAGTAGCTCTCAGACCACAGGAAGTGTTCCATATTTGACTTTCAAGACTTCTTTGTGGGTGAAGTGGGGGAAACGGCTCTCTCTTCCATGAGGAAAAACATTTCTCAGACCCAGTGTGATTTATTCTACTGGGCAACACAAAAAGCATTTCTTGAGTTGTTCTAGTTCTACCTACAAACTTCATTTGGCAGGATGTTTTCCACATGGAAAAACATTGCTTGAGTAGCCACGCTGGTAAACCATCCCATCTATTTAAAATCTCAGACGCAGATTTGACAATGTGCTCAACGTTTTTCTACCTTTTCCAAATACCACAAACCAAAGCCACTGTCATGAAAGCAATTCCAACTCACAGAGACCCTGTAGGACAGCACAGAACTGTTTTACAGGGCTTTTCAACTGTACTCTCTATGGACGCAGGCTGCCTCATCTTTCTTGTTAGGAAATTAGAATTGCTGACTTTGTTAGCAGGCCAGAGCTTAATCCACTGTGCCATGAAGAATCCACTCCCATTAACTCTTAAATTAAAAACTGGTCTATTTGCTGCTGTTAGTCATGCTCCAAAAAGTAATGTAATGACTCTTTCCTCAAGTGTGCATTCCATATGATAGATTTTTACATAACTTGGAATTCAACGTTTTCCAAAACCCGATTTCATACCTATGCATTTTATTATTATGTAATTTAGAAAACATACCCTTGGATGGTTGGAGGGGTTGATTTCAAGTCACTCATTAAGTCAACAAGAAGCTCAGCAGTGATACAGAAACATTATTTTAAGAAAGGAAAACAAACACTCAAAAAAAATATAATAAAAACCCACTAAAACCAGAAAACAAAACGCACATCCAACTCCAAATGCAACACATAAGTAGCCATGAAAAATTACTTTCAACTACATCAGCAGGTAATAGTTTTCCTAGGAAAGGAGCCTTGCTGGTATTGTGAGTTATGTATGCTGTGCTACCAACTGACAGGCTGGTGGTTCGAATCAGCTGCTCAGAAATGAAAGGTGGGCAGTCTCTCCGTGAGAACAGGAACAGACTTGAAGGAAGTAGGTTTGGCTTTTTTGGTTGTTCTTCCTCTACATAAATTAAGTTCTGGAACTTGCCTTCATTTATTTATTTTTTTAAAAATTTTTATTTTATTACTTGTGTGTGTGTGTGTGTGTGTGTGTGTGTGTGTGTGTGAGTGTACCGTCAAATCAGATCTGACTGGTACAGGAGGAGATTGTCCCTCCTTCCCCGGCAGAGTATCTGGTGGATTTGAACCATGCGCCTCTGGGATTGTAGTTGCAGCTCCTTGCCACTAGGCCACCAGAGCTCCCCTGCCTTCATTTATTTTTATGTATGCAAATGCCTACGTTAGGCAGATAAAAAACAAATCTAATGAATACGGAAGCGAGAGCAATTCAAAAAAGCTTTAAGGGGTTATGTAGAAAGTTGCCCTTTCAAAGAAATGAATAAAAGGAACATAGGAACTTGCTGTTCAGCTTTTTAAAAAAAAAAAAAAATAAAATCATACAAGAAATGTTAAAGTTGACTGTGACTTTAAGTGACATCCTCATTATTACATAGGTGGGAGATTTGACTCTTAATTATCAAATCTCATTGATTTCCCACAGTTACTTTGGAGAACTCTGTCAAAAAGGATGTACTAGAAGATTCAACAACTGCCTCTTCTTCCTACCTGGGAGGAGGCGTGGCAAAGCAAACATCTTCTAACCTGTACTATTGTCTCGAAGCCTCTCTGTTTTGGCCTCCCCCCATCATTACTATAGCCACACTGTGCCCCCACTTTAGGGGTTTCTCAGTTCCCTAATCTGGCTCCAACTACACAAAGTGTATAGCGATCCACTTTTGAACACGTACGAGGCTGCTGGGCTGTCAAGTCTCTCCCTTCCATAAGAGCGCGCACACGCAGACGTTCCAACCACACAGCAGAGCCAGAATGTGCTGGACGATGGCAAGTGTGTGCGGGCAACTACGATGTAGATGGCTTTGATCTGGATCAGCCGGACACCGTTTAGGGACACTGACATGAGCATCTCCAAGATTAATCATGGTTGCAGAGGTTGGCAGGAGCTCAGGAACCAGACTATTCCTTTAATTATAACAATCATCTCCTCACTTACCTTCACCCACTCTCATACCAAAACCAACCTACCGGCATCAGGTTGATGCTGACTCACAGCCACTCTAGACATAGGACATGGTACAACTGCCCCGTAGGGTTCCAAAGCTGTACATTATTTACAGGAGCAGAATCTTTCTCCTTCAGAACCGCCGGTGCATTCAGATTGCAGCCTCTTTTGGGATAGCAGCAAAATACTTGAACATCATACCACCAGGCCTTCGAGCCGCATCGTCATAAAACCAAAGCCCAATGTTGTCTACTTAATTCTGACTCCTACTGACCCCACAGAACAGAGCAGAACGTTCTCATTTCCAAGGCTCTAAATCGTTTTGGAAGCAGAATGCCACATTCTTCCCTTTGACTCACAGCCCTAGAGCTGTAACCACCCCACCAGCTAATATGATGAAAATACCAGGAGGACCAGAAGTGGATGGAAACCTACGGAAAATTACTTGTTTCCCAACAATTCGTGGCCCTGAGAGGACAGAGAGAACAAGAAAACCTCTAAGAATGAATGGGGCCAGGTGGAGGCTGAGGGATGAGGATGTGCAGGGGGAGGGGGAGGATTAATCATGGGGTTGTGCAATTTGATGGGGGGGTTGGGGAAATGGGAAGAATCTGTTCTGGAAAACAATGTAGTCTAATTTTGTAAATAAACTATAATAATAATAATAATAATTTAAAATATATATAAAGCTTAAACAATGGGGCCAACCAAGTAATCCTGACTCTCATCCAACTCTAGTATGCAATCTGTTAGCACTTAGCTCCTAAGCACTCTTATTCTTTAGAATCCCCACTCTCTGACGAATGCGCACTTCCTCTCTCACAAGGGTGAAGGTACATGCTAGTCTGCCAAGGACAGTCCTGGTTGCTTATTAACAATTAGGCTCAGACAACAGTAACTCCTTCTGTCTGGGTATGAATGTTAATAAGCACCTCAGGGGCTGGGCATAACTGTCTCAGTTTAGACAATAAATTATATGGTCACCCAACTAAAACTGGACTCTGAGAAGCCATCATGGTTGACATTTTAGGGCTTGCACTGCTGTCCAGGTTTGACTCGGACCACTTCTCTGGACCTTTCAGGCACCAAATGGCCTAAATAGACGTCTTTGTGCCTCCAGACTTGTAGCAACAGGTGGCAGGTTGGCTCTTCCTTTCCTTTGCCAGCCTAAAGGCAACACCACCAAGATTAACCTTGTCAATAACTTTGTCCTGGTATTCTTGCCTTCACGTGTGCTGATTCATGGAAAGGTAGAGAGCGAGAGACCTTCCATGTTTACATTTCAGTTTGTGGAAGTGAGACAGTAGCAGAACCACTCCCCCTCCTGAAATTTCACTCAAACAGCATATTATCAAGGAAGAGAAAGCGAAAAACCTCTGGTAGAACCAAGAAGGACACAGAATCTCTCCTCCTTGAAAAGCCTTCATCTTAGCCAGTCCTAAGCTAAAAAAAAAAGAAGAAGAAGAAAAGTCTAAAGAGAACCTGTCTACTCAAACCCCTCTAGTTAACAAAAGAAAACAGATTCATTTAACCAGCCCCCCGGTCATAGATCCCAATTCCTGCACTAGCAATCTTATAAATACAAAAAGAAAAGATTCAGTAATATCTGCTTCCCTAAGTATTAAAACCAAGGAATCCCTGTGGGGCAGGTCTATTCTGTAACACATCATGAGTCATAATCAACTCAAAGGCAACAGACAATCCCAACTTGGAAAGCCAGAGTCAAGAGCAGTGTGGTCCACGGTAATCACTGAAAGTTGTCTTCTACAGAGATCTGAGCACATCCTGTAACAAAGAAATGGAAGTTCACGGGTAGTCAACGCTTTTCTAGACCGTAATCAAGGCAAAGGCTCAAAAGAAAGGACCAAGAGTGTGTATGCTTCTTTCTCTTGAGGAGAAGTAGAACAAGAGGCAGAACCATTTCTAAAGCTCAGGTTCCAAAGCAAGCACACCCCACCATTTCTAGGAATCCAAGGAAATCACTGAAATGAGTATTAGCTCTCCTCACAGTGTTGTCTGTTGATCTAAAACACATAGATGTAAAGATAAAGTCTGAGAGGGAAGAGAGAGAGAAGGGAGCAGGAAAGGGGAGAGGATGAAAGAAGTGACAAGGCTGCTTGTGAGCCAGGGGAATTCTAGGGGCTTAACTTTGCTCCTTTTCCACCCCCCTCCCCAACTTCCTGTCAAAATGAAAGGAAACCAAGCAAAAACTCAAAGCCAAAGCACTTACCACAGAGACTTTGCTCACGACATCTCTTGCTACTGCTAAGCCTTGTGCGAAAGTACGGGCTGCGACAAAGGCCCGGGTGACCTGCAGCTTCAGTTTCCGAGGGACATCTCCAAAGGGCTTCAGCTGCTCCGTGTACTTGCTCACACATTCCAGATACTCATCTGTGAAGTGGTACTGGGAGTTCACCAGGCGGAACATGCGCTCCAGAAGGCGAGCCCAGAAGTCATTTAGCATTTCTTCCAGGTTCACATTCCCCACCACATAGTAGCGCTTCAACTCCACGAAGAGATCTTTGAATAGCTCCGAGTTTTGCATGTACAGGCGGCCGTATGTCTTCACAAACATGTCATTCAGGGATTTCTCTGCATTTTCAAGTAGTTCTTTGAAGAATTCTAAAAGAAAAACAAAACAAAACAAAACAATAACCCACAATAAAGAGAAAGAAGGGGAGGGGAGGAAGGAGGATTGTCAGTAATTAAAGATATGCTTTTTAGGTGAATTTCAAAATGAAGCCAATCATCATGTTTGACTGGAAAATGCACTTGTTTGTAGATGGGGGCATTCCTTTCAGGGAAGCTGGCACCTCTGATCATTCATTGTAGTCTCTGGTGGGGGGCTGCTTGGCTGGTAATGGAAACTTGGTTTGAGCCCACCCAGAGTGCCTCACAAGAAAGGCCAGGCAATCTACATCTCAAAACAAAACTACCATCAACCAGTGAAAATCATCTGAACTTAGCTGTTCCGACACAGGGTTGCCACAGGAGTCCAAACTCACTTCTTGATGGCAATTGTTTCGTTGGTTAGCTGTTGTTTGTTTGTTTTGGTTGTGTTTTGTTTTTTTTTTTAATTTGAGGTGGGAGGTATAGTTTATTAATGAAAGGAAACTGAAGTCTGAAAATCACATGTGTGACTAAGTGAAAAAGACAGGAAAGTAAAAGTTTCTCAGAAACACACACACACACACACACACACACACACACACACACGCGCGCGCGCGCGCGCACTCTTCTCTTTCACCCCGACTAGAATCAAGCCCAGAATTAACTGTGGCACTCCTCAAACCACAAACTGACATTAAGACAAGTGCTTACAAAAGGTATTGATTCGTGAGGTCCCAGACTTTGTCCTCTCCTCTTCATTTATCTACATGACACCAAGAAAACTATCCAGAAAAGGTTTCAAGACCAGGAAGCACGATAAAGCGGCTCCCTGGTGGTGCAGGAGTTAAGCACTTGGCAGCTAACTGAAAGACAGGTCTGTTGTTCAATCCCACAGCTACTCTGTAAGAAAAAAGGCATGGCCTTCCTCTCCTAGGAAAGATTAAACCAAGATCGTTTCCATCACATTGATTCACACTCAGAGTGATTCTCAAGGGCCAGAAGACTACAGCTTGGAAGGTCAATGGGGCCGGTCCACTCTATCACACGGGATTACTGTGTTCCGCTCTATCACCCTGGATTACCGGGAGTCGGAATGGACTCGAGAACAATGGTTGAGAAGCGAGTAGATACATTTTCTGAAAATAAATGCTCAAGTGTTCCCTGTGACATTAGCACATACTGGGGTGTCTGAGTTGGACTCAGGTGTCTAAAGAAGGCACAGAATAAAAAAAAAAAATACAGAAAATAAATAAAAAACA